GAACAGACACAACTTTTTGCTTCTTCTTCCAACCATTGCATCCCTCTGTGAATGGATCTACAACCTATAAATAAAGGCAGAATCTGGCTAATTCTGTACTGAATTTAATCGGCAATTACGAGATAGTTCTTCATATTCTTCTTTCCCTTCGTCAAAGTTTCGTTCGTTGTTCAAGTTCGCCGTGGGTCGAATATTCGTGCAAATATTTGACAACCGATCATTGTACCTTGGGAGACTACCGGGAAGAGACTGTGCACCGTTGACAATTCGGAAATGTTGTTTTAAGGGAATTGCTTTGGCAAGCCTCGATCGTTCTTTGTGTTTTTTAAAATTCCTCTTTTCCACAAACAAGTATTTTTTTCGTTTACGCAGATTGTTATTAATTATACCGGTGAAAAAATCCAAAAGAAAAAAAAATTGAAAAGTCAACGCCATACCGCTGGTCAACGCCGGCAAAAAAAAAATTTTTGAAAAAAAAAAACTGGGTCAAAATTGAACAATTTGTTAAATTTGGGGTCAAATTGCTATTAAATTAAGTTAAGGATGAAATTGGAGCATTTTAAAGTATGCTCAAAAAAAAAGTCAAAATTGAATTTTTGTGGTCAAAATTGGATTTTTGTGGACAAAATGATTAAATTGGGGTTACAATTAAGAATTTAGTATAAAGGGTTGAGGGTAATATTGGCGTATATATGAATGTTTCTTTTATTTATAATAAATATTAAAGAGATGGGCTTATTAGTGAAAGAGATATAGCCCTAAACCTAGAATAATAAAGATGTTTGGTTGGAAACTTATGCACAAAAACCCCTTTAAAATATTGATGTTTACATATTTCCATCAGATCTTCTGCATGGGAACAAAAATCATTAAATAAAAGCTTTGTTAGGAAACATGTGTAATGTTACTGTTCACATCATTTTTTTCTGAATAATTTGTCTTCAATATTATGTGACAAATTATTTTGGTTGCAAGTTAAAAAAAAAAATTATTTAAATCTGAAAATTGTGTAGATGGCTTCAATCAATGATGCCGTTCCTAAGGTTGTCGGCGTGGCCGAAAAACCAAATGAGTTCACAGGCACGAACTTTGCTACTTGGAAAAACAAAATGTTCTTCTACCTACTACGATGAATTTGCCTAAGTTTCTCAACGAGGAGGCACCTAAGGCGAAAGAAGGAGAAACTCCCGAAACTAACAAGGAAGTCTTCCTAGCCATTGATGTGTGGAATCACTCTGATTTCCTATGCCGTAACTACATCTTGAATTGCTTGGACGAACCGTTGTACAAAGTTTATTATCCTGTAAAGACTGCTAAACTTTTGTGGGATAGTCTGTCCAAGAAATACAAGTCTGAAGATGCGGGTTATAGGAAATTTATAGTGGACAAACTCCAATTTTATCGAATGGTCGATAGCAAAACTGTGAGTGAGCAAGTGAATGAACTTCAACTCATGATTTACGATATTCTTGCCGAGGGTCATGAGATAAGTGAAGTCTATCAAGTGGCTTCCATAATTGGAAAGCTTCCATCGAGTTGGACGGAGTTCAAACACTACCTAAGGCACAAAACATCAGTTGCCAAATGGACGATGGAGAAACTCATATAGCAAGGCTCAAGACCGAGGAGGATAATAAAATTACCGACAAGGGTGGTCAATTCGTGGCTAAGACACACGTAGTGGAGAGCTTGAAGCAGAGCAACAAGCGAACAAAGGACCAAATAACAAGATGAACAAGAGGTTCGCGGGGGCGTGTTTCGTTTGTGTAAAGAATGGACATCTTGCAAAGGATTGTCGCCACCGCAAAGAAAATAATAAAAATGAAGCGAATGTCACCATTGACTTAGCCGCTTCCGAGAACGACAACATGCACTTTTCGGGAATTGTAACGGAGGCCTACCCTATTGAGCGATACTCGAGGATGGTGGGTAGACACCGATGCAACTCGTCACTTTTGCTATGAGAAGAGCATGTTCTCCTCCTATAAAAAGTTGGAACAATAACAAAAGCTCTTCATGGGAAACGATGCTTATTCGGTGGTTGAAGGACAAGGACAAGTGATCCTAAAATTCACTTCCGGAAATGAAGTTACCTTGAACGATGTGCTACATATTCCGGATATTAGGAAAAACTTAATCAGTGGTTCTATCCTAACCAAGAAAGGTTTCAAGTTGGCTTTTGAATCGGACAAATTTGTGCTAACCAAAGGAGGGTTCTACTTGAGAAAATGGTACCTATGTGAGGGTCTCTTTAAGACAAACGTAGTTGTTATCGGCAAGAACTAAATTACTAAATAATATTAGTAATATTAAGCTTACTTGATTTATTTTATTTTTGTGGTGTGATTTGTAAGAACTTATTATTTTTGTAATATGTCGTATGTGTTTAAGTCTGTAAAATAATTTTTTTTTATAAAATATTTTGGCTAATAATTTTTCTTTAAATTTCTTCCGTCTGACTTTGTGATATTACAAGTCTTTATAAAAATTACATATCAAAATGGTTTTCAAAACTATTGAGTAGATGGAAACTTGTGCAGTTATACTTTATGCTTTGGTTCAAACTTCCATATTATTTATATTTATGTTTAAAATAGTTGTGGATACATTATTTCTTGCCTATAGTTTTATATTATTTCTGCAAGCTATTTTAAAATCTACTTCTAGTAATTAAACTTCAATATGTTTTGGTTCGTAAAACTTTCCAATTATGACTATACGTAGTCAACTATAGTCACATGTAGTTATGTTCATTTTTGTTACTACATGTGACTATATATGACTACACCTACACGACCACATGTGATTAAATATGTATATATATAAAATTCATCTACACCACCAAAAAAGTTCACAAGTGAATCTATATAAAATGGTGAATAGAACAATGCGGTTGAAAAATAAAATTATTACTTAGCATGCCAGCAATTTAAATTTTAAGGTAATCAATTATGCTTCGTTCTGCTTACCTCGATTGTCTCTGCCAAATGCTGCTCAAGGCATACATTTTATATTATTAAAAAAGAAAAACAAGAAAATAGCAGACAAGTTTAATGTATAGAAAAGAAGCCAAGTGTTCAAAGAATCAACCAAAAGATTAAAACTAATGTCCATAAAAGTATTCTGAATGGAAAGCTGTGAAGGAGACACAAAGCGAGTTGCACTACGAAGTATAAAAAACAGTTTGACCCACCTTTGACCGACCAAGGCTGAAAATCAATTTGAGATGTGCAGAAGATAATTTTTTCACACACATGTGCCCCAATGATATCATCACTAATGTACATATACATCACCGGCATATACTCCTCACATAACTCATACATGACTACATGTTACTACATAAGTTATATATAACTATATATTACTACATGTTAGTATGTTACTACATAGGTTATATATAACTATATATTACTATACGTGACCATTTATGATTACCAAAAGATTCATATCATAATAGAGCTTTAGGAATTATTATCAAGGATAATAAGTAATTTTTTTGGAGCTGTTATAAACTTTTGTTCAAAAGCAGCAAACTCGACTGAACCTGAATGTTCAGACCACGAACCAACAACCTGCAATTTGAAACATCATTTCATTAAATCATTCATTACCCAAGAGAAACTACAATTCTGTGCCAACAGAAGATACATAAAAAAAAATATAATAAAATAAAATAAAAGGTAAAGAAAAAAAAAACACCTTTAAAGATGATAGATTCACAACATGAACAGAACCATCAATCAATTAATTAATTAATTATTTTTTTTCAAATCCTTAAATAATTGCAGCACCAAATAGAGAAGTGAGAAAGATGAAAATCCAACTTCAAAAAGTAGCACACAAAACCGATAAAATCAAATCATTCAATCAGCACTCAGAAAATATTTTCCTCTGCAAATCCTCATTAATTTTCTAATAAATTCGATTTTCGTTGATTAATTACCTTCGATGGAACCGACTTGTTGTAGGACATTCATTGCGACAGATATGACTTTGGGGCCGATGCCTTCGTCGGGGTGAAGAATGAGGGTGTAGCTTTTCGACGGCGATGCGGCGGCACATCGGATGGTGGAGAGTTTGGGTTGCGCTTCTTCTTCCTCTTTTTTGTCGGTGCGAAATTTAGCGAGAGAGAGTTAGAAAAAGGGAGAGATGAAGAGAGAGGGGAAAGTTAGATCTGACGAGAGAGGGAGAGAACGACGGTGGGTTGAAACGTGTGAATGAGATGAGATAAGATTAGGAGGTTAGGGCATATATTGAATTAAAACTAAAAGGGTAAAACATGTACTTCAAGTTGTCCAGGGGTCTCACTAATTAAGATGAATTTGGATTTTTGACTAAGAGAGAAAAAATTGTTGGGCCTCCTTATATATATTTTCAAAATTAGGGGTTATCACTCATTTCCCCTAAAAAATTGAGTAATAAAAGTAAATAAGCAAACATATTTAATGTCTTATTAAAAGTAAAAAGACAAATAATATGGATCATTTTTTTATTTGTATTATTTTAAAATAACAAAAGGAGTTCAATTAAGCGAGAAATAATTTAAAGAGGGTTGAAAATGAGGAGAAAGAAATTTGGACAAACACATGTTCTAGTTGCAAGTCATGTTACTCAATCTTTTGGCTGAAAATCAACTAAGTTACTCATATACGAATATAGGGGACAATTAGATATAGGATTGAAAATCAAACCAAATTACTCGATCTTAGGACTGAAAATCAAATGAAGTTGCTCGATATTCGAATACGGGGACAAATAGATGTAGGATTGAAAATCAAACCAAATTACTTGATATTTGAATTATGGCTGAAAATCAAACCAAATTACTCGATACTTGAATTATGGCTGAAAATTAAACGAAATTACTCGATATGCAATTTGAGACATTCGTTAAAAGCTCGTTTGAACTCAGTTTGTTAACATAACGAACGAAATTTGAACGCATATTTTGTTCGACAAACTATGTAGCTCAACCTTGATTAGTGAAAAGTATAAAATACCTACAAAAAATCAAGCTACTCGAGCTATTCATTTTGAGCTTGATTACAGTCCGTTTGACCTTTGTTCGGCTGCTCTCTCAAAACTTAACCGGCATTTAGCTACAAATATAATCAAAGCAAATTTCGACCAAAATATCACAAATCTTAGTAAATGAATTTCTGGCAATACACGAGGCTCTTGAAACTGCCAAAGGTTAGAGTTTAACCCTGTATAAGCATCTAACATCTAAACCGATCGAATGCACAAAAACACAAGATCGATAATCCAACTAAGCAAAACAAGAGATACGGGAGTCAATTTGTAGAAAATCCTCACGATTTTCAAACAAAAACTCAGACACAAGAAACAAGAGCAAAAATTCCAAAGACCCGCACTTTCTAAAAAACACGGCGGGGCCTTCCTTCTCTATACAACATTCCTATATTTTTCCGTTAGTCCTAAAACCACTACCCACAAAACCATTACCAGTGATGAAAGAATCCAAAAAACCACCCATCACCACTCGAAGAGAAGAAAAAAAACCAGCCAAAAAGTGTTTGGCATAACGGATCAAAACATCATCACATCTTGAGAAGGAGGAGGGCACAATTCCTTGCGAAGCTTACGAGAGAAAAGCCTGCAAGCGTCAACGCTAAGGTCTAGAGCCGCCGCCAAGGCCACAAAAGCCGCCGCATCCTCCAAACACTTAACTTGCTGCACACTCACCTCCACCAACGGAGCCGCTGCCGTTTTACCATTATACCCCTCCCCCTCAACACTTGCCGCCATCACAAACCCTCTGTACATACTGCAATACGGCCAAAGCCCATACCCGAAATCCCCACTCCCATGCGGGCTGCACACAGGAGAGCCAGCATTGCTACCACCACCACTCGCGTTTCCATTGTCAATGATGAATTTGCCCCCCTTGCTGCAGCTTATCTTCGAATCTGCCAACACGATGCCCGCAGCAGCTGATGCAGAGTCCGGAATGAGTTCGAATTTATAACCAATGGCGTCTGCAGAGCCGCGCTCACGCCATGCCTCGAGGCGGCCCCACGGCTTCCAAGTCGAGTCGCCCGGGCGGAGAATGAGCCAACAACCCGGGTTCGAACGGCTCACTCGGTCTGAACCGGGTGATGCCACAAACGGTGTCACCATTGATGCTGCTGCAACTGGCGAACCGGAGAGGTCGTGTACTGTGATGGACCATCCTTTTCTTTCTTTGACGACCCTTTCTCTCTCACTCCCCAATGAACTTAACCACCTTCTTGCAACACCACCACCACCACTGTGTTCTGTTGGCAATGACCTGTATTCGAAACATTAGTAATCCTGTATTAATAATATAACAATTCATTAAATTAACACTGTTCAAAGGTTATAGTATGAAGATCTTTTTTTAACCAAATGCAGGGGAGGTTTCTAATTATTGGACTTCAGTTCAGACATCAGAAACAACTTTTTACAGCTTTTAATTTTCAAAAATTAAAATATAAACTGTCACGGGTTCAAACCCTAATGTATCTACGAAAATTGAACAAAGTTTCTATGAACGATAGTTCCAATTAATTGCATCGATTAGGAAAAAATAATTAACAATGAAATTCTTTGTTTAACTTGGATTAATTTGGTTACCTGGAGCGTTGATTGCGGTCGGCTGTACGAAAACTGAACTTGCAGGTGAAAACGGGCTGACGAATATTCCCTCGTATTTGAAAAACCTGCGGGCTGCATTCAGGGGCTCCGTCGAATTGGAATACGAATCTCGGGTCGGGTTCCGCCTTGACATTCAAGTGAAACTGCGAAACACTACTCTTGTTCTCTTTCCCCACATTAATCCACCCGTTGTGGAAAACCACCGCCTTCGATTCCGCCGCCGCCAGATCCAACTCCATGCAGATTTTCGCCAGCAGCCGCCCGGAACTGACGCCGCAAGTGGCCCCCTGGGGGCCGGAGTAAACCGAGATTTTAAGTTGGGGCTTTTTCGAGGTGGGGAAAAGGGAGGACTTCCCGGTGAGCCTGTCGACATCGGACTTGTTGAGGTGGAAAGTGGCGGCGAGGGCCTGAGAGTTGCCGTCGGGAAACTGAGTGCTTTCCGGAGGAATGTAGGGCACCGCTGCGTTCTGAATCGGAAAGTTGTTCAGCTTGATTACACAGAAGCACGGCGACGAAGACGGATGCACGGCGGAGCGAACTGGCTTCGCCGCTACGGGAATTTTTAGGGCCAGATTCCCCACTGTTAACCTCACAAAAGGACATGGATCCATAAACCTAGTTGACGAATTAAGCAGATTAAATAGAGATTTGGCTTTGATTTTGCTTCATCCGGTGGTGATTAGCGGCTAATGTGCGGCGGAGGAGGAGGGCTGCGGCGCCGCCAACAACATTCCCAAATTAACGATATTCTGATGTTTTACTTTCTCTCTCTCTATTCATCGCTTTTCTTTTTTTTATTAGTGTGCTAAACTATAATAATAACAATAAAGCTTTGAGGGTTGGAGATATGGATTACAGCTGTAAACAAGCTGTGTCTGTTCATTGTTTGCCAGTACGACAGAAGTTGACTGTATTTTGAAATTACAGTTATGCCCCCATTCATCCTGGAAACCGTGATAATAACATGAATACCCTATTTTTTTACTTTTTATTTATTTATTACTAAGAATTAATTCGCGTGCGATGCAAAAAGGGAGAAAGTTTAACTATATAATAATTAAATATTATTAAAAAATTACACTAATTAAATAAATTAGTTGTGAAATTTAAATTAGCAAAATAGCATAAAAAAGATTAAATTAGACATAGCAAAACAATAAAAAAAATCTACATTTGTGTATATGCCGATTAAGAGATTTTACTTTACTCTTTCGGTAATTAAAATAAAAAAAATTGCGTCCGTGTTTTTAAAAAAGAAATATTTAGAAAGAAATTGCATAAAAAAAGGAACTATTCAAATAGATTAGAATTTTGCTAGTCGATTTGCAAATTTGATTTGCTACGAAAGTTAAAAAAGGGAAAAAGAAAAAACATAAACACTAGAAAATAAGAGATGAGAAAAATATATAAAATAGTTACAAATATATCATTAGAGTTTCTAAATTGTATTTTTCTTATTTTTATATAAAAGATTTATTACAAGAAATGTTGCAAATGTTTGGGTCATTAATTGGACAAGTCAAGAATAACCAAATCGACCAAGTCTATTTTGGAAATTTAAATTGGATTGAAATTTAAAAATTTTGTAGATTTTATACGCAAATGGATTTCGTAGGCATAAAAAAAAATCAAAGTAATTGAAAATTGAAATTATGAAAATTGGATTGAACAAAACAATCCTGAAATCAAAATTTTGATTTCAATTACCAAAAACTGATATGAAATTGCCAAACAGAAGCTTAAGAAAACAATAAATCAACAGCAACCCGTGATCGTGTGCAGTGGCGGATCCAGGATTTTTGCCAAGGGTGTTCGAAATAGCGTAAAATAAAAAATTTAAATCACTTTAAAAAAATAGTGACCAAAAATTTACGGTTTGCAAATTTTAGAAATATTTAAAGAGAAAAGAGGTGAAAAATATTAACTATTTCAATGGTTTGGACCATTTTGAGAGAAAAAAAAGTTACGATTTGCAAATTTTAGAAATATTTAAAAAGAAAAGAGGTGAAAAATAATAACTATTTGAATGGTTTGGACCATTTTGAGAGAAAAAAAAAGAAAAAAAGTATTTCGTGAGGTGCAGAAATCGAACCTGAGACCTCTTAACCTTTAAAAAAGCTCTTTACAACCTCAACCATTAGCTGTTTTATTCAAATTATGTATAACAGTACATTTTATTTGTAAATTCAAGGGTGTGCAGCTGCACACCCTAGACCATATGTAGATCCGCCACTGATCGTGTGTGCTGCTTTGGATGCCTTTTGTTTGTGGTGGTCAGGATAGAAGAATTCCTATGTGCTTTAATTTGAGGGTTTAGGCATTCAAGTAAGAGACACGTGGCCGTGTAAGCTTGAGTTCTTTTATGTAGAGCCTCGTGGGGTGTAAGTTTGATGCTATTTTACAATTATTTTTCATGAAATTCAAGCAATATGCTATTTGATTATCGAAGAATAAATTTCCAATCGTTGTGGCCAAGTAAAATTTTAGCAATTTAGCCAAATTTGGAACAATTTAGAATGGTGACGACAGGTGACACGGTTTATACACGTCCATGGACCATATTAGTGATCCATAATCTTTGAAATTTACTTTTTCTTTAAAAGAAATATAACGATTATATGCATAAAATTTAATACTTATTTATAATTGATTATGCAAAAGCCAATCTATTTTCTGTCACATGCACATTACATCTACCAAAGTAAAATACAAAATATTTTGCGAATTATTTTATAAGAGTGAAAGTTTATCCTCATTTGCTTAGTGCTATTAAGTTTTATTAACTAAATAGTAGGGGTAGTAAGATATTTTGAGAAAAGGGAGAATTTAATTAGGCTATAGAAGCCAAACTCGAAATGAGGCTAGAGCCTTCCATACTCACATAGTTCGTGGAGTAAGTTAATGCATGAGCAAGGCGATTGTCTTGTCTCTTAACAAAAGAAAAGGAACAATGAACTAAAGATCTAGACAAAATAAAACAATCCTCAATGAAGGCGCCGAACGGTAAAGAAGATGAGTTGCCCCGTTGAAGAGCATCCATAACCTGTTTGCAATTACCCTCAATAATCACAAAATTCCAGCCATTGGAAACCGCTTTAGATAACGCTTGTTGAGCCACGCGAGCTTCTCCATCCTTCACCGTCGGTCGACCATGTATCCTCTCCACACCCCACCGTAGCCACTCACCTCGCCAGTTCCTCGCTACAAATGCAGTCATAAAGAAATCTTGCCCATGCGGAAATGCCGCATCAAAATTAATCTTGACAATACCTTGGGCCGGAGGGGACCACGTGGTTGGAAAAGCGCTCGTTAGAGGTTGATGAGCACTCATAATAGCCGAATTAAAGGAATGCAGAAATGCTCCACTCCAAGAAACTAAGGGGTAGTAAGATATTTGGTTGTTATAATTTTTGTTTAACCAAGTTCACTATAACACTCAAACCTGCAGTTAAATGTTATTATTCGGTTAAATTAGTAGCACTCTTTCCCCTGGGATTATTTTTGTAGGAGGATAATCATAAAATAAAAAGGACAATTTTGTCCTTAAAACAATATATTAATTTTGTTAATTAAAAGATAGACAATTCACATTTAATACCAGAATTTAATAAATTTAGTAGAAATTTTAATCTAACAAATCAAACATTTTAGTGATGAAATAATTAATTAGTGGGTAAGATATTCATCTCAACAATCCAATGTAATCCGATATAGGTAAGCAAACGAGAACTTATATAATTGGTAGTGGTTATGTACATAATATTAAAAAAAAAATAGGTAAGAACACATGAAATACGGTTAATTTTTTTGGTTCATGTGCTATACAGGATTTGAACAATTACTGTCATTTGAAAAGAAGTCCGAGGTTCGTTGTTTATTGTAGATTGCAAAAAGTTCCTTGAGCTAAAGTCAATTTACAAAAGAATTTTGGGCGTATGCCTTCATCATCAACACAAATCATCTGAAGCTCGTCGTCGTCTTACCGTTTGTATTCAGACAAATATTCTCAATTCCATGTATTCTTCTAAAATACCGATTTTATCCTAAGGGGTAACTGTAAGAACACATAATTAAAGAGATTTATGTGCATAAGTCCCTAATCAACTTTGTTATTAGGTTTAGAGGTTATATTTCTTTCGCCAATAAGCTCATCCATTTAATATTTATCTTATATATAAAAGAAAGAAACGCTGGGCAATTCTAATGATATTTCTGTAAATATTTATTTTTAATATTTTTTCTCTACTAATTTCTAACTATAATTTTTAACAATTATCAAAATTGAAATTAAATTGTGAAGAATCCTACCCTATCTATATATTTGGATTATAAATCTCAATATGTAAAATTAAAAAAAAAAACTAATGTCATACATATATATATATATATATATATATATATATATATATATATATATATATATATATATTATTAAATTTTACCATGTCAGTGTACTATATTTTCTTATTTTGTATTAAATTAATTAGTTTTTTTCACTTTTAAAATAATATCCCGTGCATCGAATGGGGAAAAAATGCTAGTTATAAATAAAAATTCATGCATGTGACAAAAATACCTCCAATCCTTTACACTCAATTATTAATTGTAACCCCAATTTAATCAATTTTGTTATTACTTTTGTATTTTTTAATTATTATTTAACTAGCATTTTTTCCCCGTGCGATGCACGGGATCGTATTTTAAAAGTAATAAAAAAATGATCAATTTAATACATAAAAAATATACAATACACTAACACTACCAAAAAACAAGGCTTTTGTGACAGAAATTTAGTGACAAACCTAATCCGTCATAATGAGTGACCAAATTAGTGACCAATTTGTGACTGATTTGAAACAAAAAATAATACAATTTATTGTGACGGGTATGTGATGAATTATGTGACTAATTGCGTGACGACGAATATTCGATCACATTTCGGTCACAGATGTTGAGACGGAAATTTTTTCTGTGATAATAGCCGTCACAAATGGTTTATGGATTTACACTTTAATAAGTATCGGTCTCAGATCGGTCACCAAGTTCTTCTCGTCATAAATGCGTCACATATAATTCGATCGCATATCCGTCATAATTGAAGTCAAGTAAAAAATCCATCACATTGTACTTTTCGTCGCAGACGCGTCACATATAATTCGGTCGCAAATTCGTCACATTCTAAATCCCGCCACTAACCCGTCATAATGTCCATTTTGTCACAAATGTGTCACATATAATTCGATCACAAATCTGTCATTTCTAAGTTCCACCATTAATCCGTCACAATGTACTTTTCGTCACATATGCGTCATGTATTATTCGGTCGCAAGTCCGTTACATTTTAATGTTCCGCCATTAATCCGGCACAATATCAACTTCGTCACAAATGTGAATTACACTAATTTATTAAACTCTCTTGTATTAGTGTATAACAAATATATTGTTTAAATCTATATATATATATATATATATATATATATATATATATATATATATATATATATATATATATATATGGAATACACTCTTACATCTCACACTCAAAATCTATTACTTTTTGAACTCTAATTAGTATTAACTAATGCTTAACTTTTTTTTGTATTATACAAATGTTTTGAAATTATTTTAATTTTGTAAAAATACTGATAATTAATGTTATAGTTGTTACAATTATTATTTAATTTTATAACTTATTAGTTCAAAGATATTAACCAGTAAAGAATATAATTATAACTTTGTTATTTGATTTATATACATAATTTTTTAAACAATAAACTAAAGAAAAATGATAGAAAAAAATTAACAAATTAATTTAACTTTTATATTTTTGCCAAACACACACTTAATTTAAATAACAGTAATAATAATATATTACTTGGTGTTTTGATTGATTTAACAAAAACAAATTAATAATATATATACCCTTAATTTGAATCAACTTATAATAATATATATGTAAATAATAAATATAAACTTACCATATATTAAATATAATAACCTATCAAACACACAAACAAACGGGGGTTTCATTATTTTCCCCCAAAACCGCCGCTCACATCTTACGACTTCAATCCCCGGCGAGCAGCTTAACGCCATGGGTAAGAGAGAATCTAAACCACGGCGATAGAGAAGCAGGGACGAAGAAAAGGGGATAGATCTACCCTCTCCTTCAGCGATGACAGTCGTTTTCTTACCCGAAGTTGCAGGTGCAGTTTACCTCTTTATCTTTTTAATCCAATTTCAGAATGAGGTTTGTAGCTGAGATTGATTTCAATGTGCAATTTCTAGTTAAATGGGTTTTATTTTTTATGTACATATTAACCCCTCTAGATGGTTGATTATTAGCACTATCTATTAAATAAGTAGTTATATTATTTTAGATTCTCGCAATTTGGAAGCTTATAATTGCTCCCCAAAGTAATGAAGTTCAAACAAGAATTGATCCAATTATGGGACTTGTAGATGTTGTAGTAATATAGAGACAATAAATAAGAAGATCTGTAGAACAAATTCTCTATTCGTGTAACCCGTGTCCTAATAAATTAATGCATAAATCCTAAATCAAGTGTTGTTCTTGGCAGGAAAAAAAATGTAATAGAGAGGCCTCAGATGATCATCTTCCATTAATAGAAGAAGCCAGCATGTATATATGCTTATTGTTCCGTTGCACTTCTCACTTTTAAATTTCTTTCTTTCTATTTTTTATCGAAAATTGTGGGACTGCTGTGCAATTCCTTACTGCTAGTAAACTGAAAATTATTATCATGTCGTTGGTTTGAGCATATATATTACCGGACTTTGTATATGATGAGAAATATAGGTTGTGTTATGTCAAGGGTTCATGTCAAGTGTACTTCATTTTATTTGTTTTTTATGGTCTGAAAGAATTTAGAATTCAAATTGTTTAGTTTATTATTCTGAAATGGTGGTTTTCACTTCGATCTATGGCTTGTTGAATAGGAGTTGAAATTTCATTTTGTTTTGATTAGAAGTTGTAAATTTGTAATGTCACTTGAAATCCTTTCTATAATTCTTGTCTAATTTGGTTTCTTCTTTCGCTAATACCTAAAATTCTTAATCGTGATTATTTTTCATGTGGTTATCACAGGATGTCAGCTGTTAGGGGAGCGGTGTACAACGAAAGGTCTAGAGCGATGTGATATGTATGAAGCTACAAATACTTCATTGAAATAAGATCTGTGTCGTTGGTTGTGATGTATTGTGCATTTTTGGGAACTATTAAGGTTTATCTGAGTTATGTTTGCAATGACTGTAGATGTGAACATTGAAATATATCTGAAGGGATGTAATGTTGATATTAAGACATATTTATGTGTAATTATTTTTGTTGATATTGTTATGAATGATTTATTTTGGAGATTTATAGAATTTGAAATATTTTAATAGCAGGTTAAGAAATTCATATATAAAATTGAATAAAAGATAATTTTTACATAATAACTTCTGACGGATTGTTTGTGACAGAGGGTTAGTGACGAATTGCGGACAACAACAATTGTTTGTGACGACATCCGTCACATATATTAGAGAGAATATTTTGTTGATTAATGACGAATTACTGATAAACAAATATTGTGTGACAGAATCCGTCACATACTTAAGCGACAAATTATTGACAGGAAATATTGTTTTGCGACGGAATCCGTCACAAATTTTATGGGAATATTTAGTTCATTAGTGGCGAACTATTGACAAACAAAAAATGTTTTTGACAGAATCCGTCATAGATTTTAGGGACCTTGTATATGGTATTTGTGACAGAATTATTTTTGTTTGTGACCAACTATTCCGTGATAAACAATGTGACGGAATTAAAATATTCGTCACAATTGCAGTTTGTGACGAGGGTTGATACGGGCTTGTTTGACAATTAACAAATAGATATAAGCCCATTAGGGTAAGCCCAACATGATAGGCCCACAACGAAGAACCCATGACGACTTAGCTCGGTATTATGAGCGAGGTCGTCGTATGGCGCGAACCTCGGAACCACGTGGGAGTACCTTAGCTCGCCAGCCCAATACCAAAACGGGGTAAGGCGAGCCCAGGACAATACAGGCCCAAGATATATGACTTGGGGGAAAAGAGAAACCCTAAAAAAGGAAAGCCTTGGAGGCCAAGCTTTCCTCATCTATAAATAAGAGAATCAACACACACACACACGAGAATATACACTCATTTACTATTACATTACATACACATCTTTCCCTTTATTCCGATCACTGACTTGATCGTCGGAGCTTTCCCGCCGGGAACCCCTCCCGGCGTTGCAGGTCTGTCCACCGGAGTACGGACGAAGCTGGCTTGAGGAAGACGAAGACCTACGGACCAAATCAAGTGGCGCAGTCTGTGGGAAAAGTCTAAAAATCTTGGGGATAACTTCCGGGAAAATATCAGATCTACCCCCGGAAGTCCAGATCTGAGCTATCGACGTAGAGAACAATGGAAGAAGGAGATATCACTGCCCGGAATTTGCAGAAGGATTTAGATGCAGTAGCTCGCGGTACACCGGCTGATCCATCGTCCCTTCAGAAAGATAAGTCGGGGTGTAGCTTCCTTACACCTGAAAAGGAGGGTCGGATCCCTTTCACCCCAAGCAGCCCCTCTTTTGAGTTCCAGGATGCCGAAGCTGCTTCAAGAAGGCCAGCCGCAACCCCCGCTCAGGCTCCCAATGAGCGTACATATACCCGGGACGAGGTGGAAACCATGATCACCGCGGCCATCCGAAACTACACCCAAAATTTACCTCACGATAACCGACTCAGGAGAGATCCCAGACGTTCTCCGAACGAAGGACGAGCTGAGGACGAGGGCGATAGTTATTCGGAGAACCGAGGGGGTAATAGTCATGGCGTTAGAACAGAAGTTGACAGCTTAAGACGCGATATAGATGAGTTGAAGGCCTTGCGAAGTGGGCCAGCGCGAGATCTCGTAGGATCTAGCCCTTTCGCTAGTCATCTCGATAGCGACCCTATACCAGCTAACTACCGACCGATCTTATTTGAGTACAACGGCACGTCAGATCCAGCTGAACACTTGAGTCGGTTTAACAACACTGCCTCACTTCACCAGCTCACAGAAGGGGTGAAGTGCCGTGCCTTTGTCACCACTCTAGCAGGTCCGGCCCAAGCATGGTTCGGACTGTTACCTGCCGGAACCATCCGATCTTTCGAACAACTTGCCAAAGCTTTCATGAACCAGTTCGCTAGCTCGAAGAAGTGTAAAAAGACCTCTCTGTCACTATTCAGCGTTCGTCAGAAGGAGAAAGAAAGTCTCAGAAACTATATCAAGCGATTCACTTCGGCTACCTTAGAAGTCCCCACTACCAGCGACGAGGTGCTCATGGCAGCTCTTTCGCAAGGACTGAGAGATGATGAGTTTTTCCGAGCTTTGGCGCTGGAACCTTCGCCCGATTTTGACCATCTCCTAGAGAGGGCGTCTAGGTTCATTAACTTAGAAGAAGCCCGGCAGCAGAAAGTAGAAGAATCTCACCAACCCGCAAACACACGAGCCAACGAAGTAAAAAGAATCAAAGAACCACTGCTACCTCGAAGGGATGCTAGTACCCCCGGCCGAGGTATCGCCTCGGACGCTAAGGGATCACGATTCCAATCGTATCAGCCCCTTACGGCTCCTCTGTCCCAGGTGTTGTACGCGATCGAGAAGAGAGCTGACCTGCGGTGGCCTAGGACCGCTCGCAGAGCCCCCCGTCGAGATCCGACATTGGGTACTTTTTGCCGTTTTCATAACGAATACGGGCATACGACCGACGACTGCGCACATCTGAAAGACGAAGTTGAACGTCTCATCAGAGATAACAAGATCGGGGATTTTGTGAAGATAGATTCACCTCGGGGACAAAAGCGTGAAGCCCAGTTCGGGAACCCGCCACGAGCACCGCCCCCACCGCCAGCGCCGAAAAGAGGGTACATTCAGATGATTTCAGGGGGTCCTACGGGAGGAGATACTCACCGGGCTAGGAGACGTCATCTCGGTAGCCTAAAAAATAATCATGAAGTTTGCCAAATCTCTACACCGAAGTATCGTCAATATCCCACTATCTCGTTCAGTCCTGAAGATGAAGCAGACCTAGATGATTTTCACTGTGACCCTCTCCTCATCACGATTAACGTGGGAGGATACGACGTCGCTCGCGCCTTCGTTGATCCCGGAAGTTCGGTGGACGTCATATCTTACGAGTGTTTCCTACAAATGGAGCTTGACCTCCCGGTTTTCCCCGTCACCACAGCGATATTTGGGTTCACAGGAGGGTCCCTGACGCCGATTGGACAAGTTAAAATCCCTGTCACTATAGGAACTCCACCTCGAACACGCACTCAAACTGTCAATTTTGTCATCGTTGAAGGGTCGCCGACCTCGTATAACATCGTGATAGGACGACCAATGTTACATACCTTTCGGGCGATCCCTTCGACCATTCATCAAAAGCTTAAGTTCCCAGTTGATGGGATGGTGGGGGAGGTCAGAGGCGACCAAACCCAATCGAGATCGTGTTATGTCGAAATGGTTAAGATAGCAGAGAAAGGCCGACGCGATACCCTCACCAAAGAAGACTTGGGAGACGAGAAGCGCCCCCGAGTTGATCCAGAGGATAAAGTTAATCATGTACAACCCATGGACGAATTGATGACAATCGACCTCGTCCCCGGGATGATGAAACAAACCCGGATAAGTAAGGATTTAGAACCACCTCTTCGGGATGAGTTGATAGCGTTATTGCGGTCTAATGAAGATGTTTTTGCTTGGCAACCAAGTGATTTGACCGGTATATCACCGCGAACTGCCGTACACAGGCTTAATTTACGACCCGAGTGCAGGCCCGTCAAGCAAAAACGGCGACACTTCGGTACCGAAAAAGACGAAATCATACAGAAGGAAGTTCAACGACTTCTGGAAATCGGACACATCCGGGAAATTCAGTTCCCTACATGGCTGTCCAATGCGGTGTTAGTACAGAAAGCTAATGGCCAATGGCGAATGTGTATCGATTTCAGGGACTTAAATAAGGCTTGCCCGAAAGACGATTATCCTTTACCTCGCATAGATCAGCTTGTAGATGCCACTGCTGGATGCGAGCTACTTAGTATGATGGATGCCTCGCAAGGATACCACCAAATTCCGCTAGACGAAAAGGACCAGCCAGCAGTAAGTTTTGTCACCGCCACGGGGACTTACTGTTACGTGGTGATGCCTTTCGGCCTGAAAAATGCAGGAGCCACGTATCAGCGATTGATGGATAGGATGTTTCGGGCCCAACTCGGACGCAACATTGAAGTTTATGTTGATGACATGTTAGTTAAAAGCAAGAGGCGCTCTACGCATCTCGCAGACCTAGCTGAGACCTTTGCAACTCTTCGTTTATATGGAATGAAGTTGAACCCTGCTAAGTGTGCATTCGCAGTACAAGCTGGAAAGTTCCTGGGATACATTGTTAATCGGGAAGGCATCAAGGTAAACCAAGATAAAGTGGAGGCCGTACTTCAGATGACACCTCCTCGTTCCATCAAGGAAGTCCAATCCTTGGCAGGAAAAGTTGTAGCCCTAGCTCGGTTTATATCGCGAATGGCTGATAAGAGCCTGCCTTTCTTCAAAGTACTAAGGAAAACAGCTCAGTTCGAATGGACCACCGAATGCCAGCTCGCATTCGAAGCATTAAAACGATCTCTCACTTGCTTGCCGATTCTTAGCACCCCTGAAAAGGGCGAAACCCTGTTTGTATACTTGTCAGTGGGCGATGAGTCCATCAGTTCGGTTTTGTTTAAGGAAGTTAATAATCAACAAAGACCGATCTACTATACTAGTAAGATCCTCACTACGTCGGAAAGCCGATATTCTGAAGTCGAGAAAATAGCGTACGCACTGGTCCTCACTACGCGACGACTCCGGCCTTATTTCCTGTCGCATACCATGGTGATTCGCACAGGCTTACCCCTTCGGCAGACCCTAGGTCAACCTACTGCGTCAGGGCGAATTGTTAAATGGGCCATCGAGCTGGGACAGTACGAGATTCAATATCAACCCCGTACCTCGGTCAAAGGACAAGCGCTAGCGGATTTCATCCGAGAAACCACCAGGATACCCATCGAAAAAGAGTGGAAAATTTACGTGGATGGCTCATCTACAACCTCGGGAGCGGGGGCAGGGATAATAGTTATTGATCCCACTGGAACGGAAGTCGAGTTTGCCGTTAGGTTACCTCGAGTTTCCAATAATGAAGCAGAGTATGAAGCCTTTATCCGAGGTATGGAGATCGCTCAAGAGCTCGGAGCGCGAGTGGTGCGAATATACTCCGACTCTCAATTGGTAATACACCAACTCGAAGGGGACTACGAAATAAAA